GACCAAAAGTCCTACATTGGGAAAATAAAAACATATGGTCCTATATTGGAAAAGTCATTATGTTTTAGTCCTATTTAGGTAAATTTCTCATATTATTATCGTTCTTTAGGTAATCTCGTCCATCCTTCCATCGCCTTAGCATTGTCCTCCAGTTTGGTCACTATTCTGTTTGTGTACCTAAAAAAAAGAAGCCAACCCGATCAGCAAAAGCTGAGTGGTACCAATTATAACAATAGGTACAAAATATAATAGGGTAAATATATACTTTTTCTCAAAACTCTTTACTTTGATAATATCAAATCATTTCCGTTTCAATATTTCATAAAGGTGCAATATCCACATATTTGAACTTTTTCTTTACTCTGCTTTATTCGTGTTTAACTAGGACTTCAAGTACTTAACATACAAGACAAGTGCATTATGTAACTGGGACTCCGAGTACTTAACGTACATGACTAGTCCATTATGACGAGCTCGTACGTACGGCAATGGAGAGGGGTACTGGTTAACCCTGTAAAACCTTGCGAACTGTAGTTCACATATCAGAAATCGTTTATTAAATTTAGAAAATATAATTTGTATCTGTTTGTTTCCCATTTGAATCCATATTTCAAATTCAACTCATATTATATTTTTATATACATAATTAGTACGCAAATTAATAATAAACGTAGAGCATTTCAAAACTATCTTTTTTTAAAAATAAAACTTATTAAGAACATCTCCCTTTTTTAATATAATAACTTATTAAAAACCTTGTTGGGCTAATTCTAGAAAGTTTGGACGTAAAAATTTGTAGAAAACACGTGTCACCATCGAGACCCATTTTTCGGTTGCCTTCCTTAACGGTGTTCAAAAATTTGTTTCAAAACCTTATTTTCTATTCGCATGCCCTTATATAATCATCATAGAATCCTTTTGGGGAATATTTTAGATAATTTGGACGTAACACATGTTAAAAATAAAAGTCGGTGGCGTTCCTAATTATTAGTAACGGAAATTAAATCAATTGAATATATAACAAATATAGCATATATTAACGTATTATATTAAGTAACGATTGTTATATGGGCGGCGCGGCGGTACTCACCTTAACGTTGAATCGAGTTGCTATGACGTAAAGATGGTGGCCTTTAGTGAGATGCTGAATTCCGGCAATACCTTCGACAAACCACCCTTAATTTGTATATATTAAAAAAATTTAACCAACTCAACTTTGAGTTAACCCTTTAGAGATACTTAAAATTTTCTATGATTATAATAGAGTAGTTGAGTAGTATATACGTAGGTTTGTGGTGTGGGCTTAGGTTCTAGCATTATTTATAGAGTATATATTTATTTTCTTAATTGTGAAGAAAAATGATGAATTTGATAACTATGAAGTAACATCCTAAGATGATGATGGTACAACACGTGTCATTTGCTACCATAAGATTAGTGTTTCCTCCCTTTTAGTATTTAGTTTATTCTATAATTATCTTACTTCTCTCAATAAATTTTGTTTTAATTCTATTTTATTCCAAAAATATTTTCGTTGATATTTTCGGATTGAAATATTTGCTCTAAATATCACTAAAACTTAAGTCATTTCCCTAAATAGCAATTAAACTGTTTTATTCTCTAAATATCATATAATGATTTTCATATTGTCCAGTGATGACAAATATTTACTTGAATAATGACTAATGCATAATGACTAAAAGTGCTACATTGGGAAGAAAAACACATGTGGTGCTATTTAGGGAAAGTCATTATGTTTTAGTGCTATTTAAGTAAATTTCTCTTTCGGAATTAATATGTCAATCTTAATAGCATCATTCAAATCCTTAAATAACATGCCTACCTTTAGAATGAAGTTATCAGGGCATTTCAGAACCCAATGTCGTTCGACGTAAGAGCTGCTTTCTTGATTTGGGACTTCCTGATACTTTGTCGGGGTGATTGTATGAAAAAGTGAATAATACAATACCAGAATCAAAAGATGGGTGCGTAATAAAGGCACATTATTGCATGAATAATGTAGTCGATGCATAGTTTGTACTACATCGAATCAGGATGTCAAAGTGCAGAAAAAAAGACCGTGTAAGATGTAGTCAGTGCATAGTATTTAATGAATGCATCAATATTTCAGCATTAAAAGTAGAGATAAAAAAGAATTTAATAGAACATGGTTTCAAGATATTAGTGCATAATCATGTCCTGAAAATGCATTGATTTTGAATGGCATCTGTTATAAGTTTGTAGCGAAATAAACATGACTAGCACGTAATTGTTTTCATATGACACAATGTATTGAATTCTTTACCACTCAGTCTTAGAGTAGAATGCCAAATTATTTGGTGTAAAACAATGAATATGTAGAATTGGGCAATGTATGAAGTAATTTCATAACCTGTAAAACAGATGTATGTAGTACATAGATTCGATAAAGTATGCATTATTATGTATGGGAAATGCATTGATATGTAAAATGCATCAGTTAGAAGTGTGCATCGAAAAAAACATGACTAGCACGCCATTTTTGTCAAATGACGAATTGTATTGAGTTTTTTACCACACTGTCTTATAATAAGAATTCGTAATTGTTTGATGTAAATCCATGAATATGAAAATTTGCATAATAACATAATTGCATACATTTAAAATTTGGATACAACAAATGAAAGGATATTTAAATAATACCATCCTTAACAAATTAGACCATGAATTTAAAGAATACTTGGTTGTGAGTGAAATTCCATTGGATATTTTTTGGGGAAACGTCGAAAATTCTAAGCACAGTGAATAAAATGTTATAAGGTAGACACACAGGGAGTATCAGCGGAAGAATTAAACATTGATCCATCCCTAATTATGTCTCCTGATAACGGAAGCTTCGCCGGAACATAGAGGGGAAGGTGCGCAAGAACGTGTGCTTATTTTACGGAGAAGAAGATGGAACGATAATGCTCAGGTATACGAAATTTCTATATTACCCTTAAGTTTATTAAGATTGAGTCTGGCAGATGCTGTGGATCCAATGGTTAATATTCATTCTTATTTCTTTCATTAGATTTTATTCTTATTTGAACACACACACATGGATTGGAAAAATTAATTTTCAACCTTTTCCAATTCTTCTAGATCTTTCCATCCTCTTTCACTTTTTTTGAATATATCCTCTTTCACTTTATTCCAATAGCAATTTAAAAAAATCATATGATGAATATACAATAACATGATATATCCAAGTTTATAAAATATCACCTCAAACACGGGCAATTTTTTTGTTTTATCCAAGATTAGTTTTTTGCATATTTATTAGGATGTTCATTTAACTGAAAGATGTTTTAACATTCTACTCCGTATTTTTCTAATATTTTGAAATTCTTTCCATTTTATTTTACAAATTGGTAGAGAAATAAAAATAAAAAAATTACACCGTTCAAAAATATACCAAAAAGTTTACAAAAAAAGACGCAATAAAAATATTTTATTTTATCAAATTATCAACCAAAACGAATAAACTAACAAAAATTATCAAACAGTTAAATAATAGCTGTTGCATTCTCTTTGGGACGCATTCTATTTAAAAAATATTTCATTAGGCCTATTTAGAATATTGGGCCGATCCACGAGAGAAGCCCGCTAAGGAAACCTAACCCAAGGTTCCCATTATGATACTATATAAGAGGCACAAATATAGAAAGAAAGGGGAGCCCTCCTCGAGATTCTACACCTATTACACTCCACTCGTTTGTCTTCTCCTTGTCGATGGAGTTCGAGATTCATCAATGACGGTCACGCCAATATGTTGTACAAATATATCCTCAAAATATAATAAAGCACTCCCGTCGGCATGGTACCGCCCAAAAAGGCCCTGGTTTTCACTGATTTGGTTTTCACGTCAAAATCTATTGTCTATGTTCTTGTTTATATATTTCTTTATATTTTATACATATATCATATGGACCAAAAAATACACATCCGGGTGTTTTGGTCTATCACACGGGTAAAAAATATTTTTTATTTTATCCAAAATTATTTTTTTACATATTTATTAGGATGTTAATTTAATTAAAAGATTTTTTAACATTCTACTCCATATTTTCTAACATTTTAAAATTCTTTCCATTTCATTTTACAAATTTTTGCAAAACAAGATGTAATAAGAATATTTTATTTGTTTAAATTGTCAACCAAAACAAATAAATAAATTAAAATTATCAAAAAGTCAAATAATAACTGTTGCATATGAAATACTCCCTCCGTCCTAGTGTATTTGTCCAGTTTGACTTTTTTTGAGTCAAACTAGACAAACTTTGAGCTTCAATTAAATAAAAACTGTAATGTATTTTAACATAAAAATGACTTTTTTGGATTTATTGTATTGAGAACTTTCAAAATTGTATTTCATTATGCTTATATGCAATATAAATTGAGAGTAATTGGAGTTCAAAATTTGTCCAATTTGATTCGAAAAAATCAAACTGGAAAAATATACTGGGATGAAGGTAGTAACTTATATTTGGAGGGGTTACTATCCAACTAGTACAACTTGACACCCTTTCTTGTAAATTGTAATAGAAAAATGATAGGAGTACACCATGTCCCCCACCTCCTCCTTGTCCACTAAAAAAGGCAAAAAAATTCAAAAACATAAGTATATAAAAATCAAATAAAAATATGTGGAGGAAAAGAGAGTAGTGTACATTTGGTGGTGTACCCCTAGTATTAGTCATTGTAATATGGTGGAGGGAGTATAATTTGCCTGCGCGAGAGTGTAAGAGCGAGACACTACCCAAATTTTTAAAATGGGACAAGACATTTTTAACCAGCTTAGTTGTCAAAAAGAGTAAAAACTTCAACTACCATATTTCAAGAATTTAAGATGGAGATTGAAATTTATTGCAAAAACCCAAAGCTCCACAATTACCACCTTCATCAATTTCAATGCAAAAATGGAGGAATTTTTCCTCAGACCTAAAGAACAGTAAATCTTGCAAAACAAAAAAACTCGATCCACAGACCACACACAAAAAAACCCATATAAATTTTGATTCGATTTTTTGTACCATATATTCTGCATTATCTTACCCAAGGGGAAAGGGGGGAGAAAATTCTCTTCTTTGTCTTCACTGTGAAAAGGAGAAGACAGCTATGGAGAGTCTCTCACCAATCAAGAAAGGCCATAGATAAAGATTAGGAGAAAAGCCCACATTTTCAGTTGCTGCAAAAACTTTGTTCTTGACCATGGGTAAGACGGAGGATGAAGAGCCCTTACCCATGGCTGCAGGGGGTGAGCTGACCCCACACCTTCGAATGGGAAGCAGAAGATGCTGCTGGAGAATCAATGGGTGGGTGAGTTACAGATGCGTTTTTGCTCTGATATTTGGCACGGCTGTGCTGCTCTCTGCTGTTTTCTCGCTCCCAATCTTCAACTCTGGAGATCCGAAGGTTCTAGATCTGGATGATAGGTTTGCAGGTGTTTCTCTTGTTCGTTTGTTTTTTCTTCAATTGCTGCATTTTGGAAGCTCAGATGGATCTCTCAGTGAAAATTTAGTTTCTACTCTTAATTTTGTCAACTGGCTATTTGATTATTCTTTAAATTTGTGCATTTTTGTATTATGTGTGGTTAATTTTCTGGTTGGTTTTCTCAGTATGTTTTATGCGAATCAGTTCATTTTTAGCTTTGTTTAGTTCTGCTTTTGCAGAATTTTTTTGATTATTTGGTGCTATTATTGTTAATGATTTTATTTTTAATTTTTAAAATAAATCATTTGGTTTGCTCTTTGGGGAATGAATTTTCAATTATTATTGATGTAATTTTCTTTGTTCTTGTGTTAAGCTGTGATTTTTTATTTGAAATCTAGCCATGGACAGGGAACAAACACACATTAAGGACCAAGTGTGGCTCTGTTTAATTCAAATCTAGCTACCTGTTATTGACAACTTATTAAGGAAATGGTCCAAAAAAAATTAAAGGTTTTACCTAAAACTGGAAAAAAAGATATATCCAATCTGGTTTTCTGTGCATTACCCATTATGGGGTATCCCTTTGTGCCCATAGATGGAGTCTTGATTCTTGAAATTGATGCATGGCTTGATGCTTGAAATTGATGCATGCGCCGGCACGGGTAGCTTAGATGGTCTTGAGGGAATAGTGTTAAGTCCTAGGTCTCAGGATTGATTCCGAACGCGGTAGTGTCGGAGTTTTTATCCAATGTGATAGGTCGTACGCAACGAGCATGCGGTGGCCTATATATATGTATGTATATGTATATATAGTAAGAAACATCTTAAACAACGCAATTACATATATTACTCTGCACTTAATTCTTGATTGCAGTGTCAATGTAATTCTACTCAAGTTTTTTTTTGGTTTGATTTTCCAGGGTATGAGATAGTAGCAAGCTTTATGCTCGAGAGACCAGTTTCACTCTTGGAGCAGTATATTTTGCAGCTTGAAAATGAAATTTTGGATGAAATAAGTGTTTCCAACACCAAAGTGTGTATTTCCTTACAACTATTCTCTTGTTTTATTGTTCTTAGTCGCGCCTCTATTTCTATTTTTCCAATAATAACAACAATGATCTCAAGATGTCTTATAAATAAATTTACAGGTGAACATACTCTCTTTAGAATCCCCAGCCTTATTATCATCAAACAAAACAAAGGTTTTTTTTGCTGTTGATTCCAGTGTCAAAACTGTGGGCATCTCCCCAACAGCCAAGACCATAATACACGACAATTTTGAATCAATACTCGTTCATCAGTCCACTTTGCACTTGACCACGGCTTCTCTATTTGGGACCCCATTCTCATTCGAGGTTCTGAAATTCAAAGGGGGGATCACCGTCAGCCCTTCGCAACAGAAAGCTTTCCTCTTGCAGAAAGTTCTCATCAGTTTCAACTTCACCTTGAACTTTTCCATTGAAGAAATACAAGTTTATTTTGATCAACTCACCCAACAACTTAAGTGGGGCTTACACCTTTCTCCATACGAGGTTTGTTGATATATGAATTTTGGTTAGCTTTTAATCTAAGTTTCTTTTTTCTACAAGAATTTTCGATGAATACTTCTTCACAGATTACATGCTTAATTAATAAACAATTTATTTATGATAATCAAAAAATTAAAAACAAATCTATAGACGAGTAAGATGAGTTAGATGACCCATTCTTTCGTGTCCTTAGATGCCTAAAACTTTTTGTGCTTATAAGCTTCTCAAAGTTGCTTATAAGCTATTTTTAACTTAAGTCAGTTGATGACACGTTTCTCTGTGCTTATAAGCTGACTTATAAGCCGCTTATAAGCTGACTTATAAGCCGCTTATAAGCTGACTTATAAGCCGCTTATAAGTTGACTTATAAGTCGCTTATAAGCTAACTTATAAGCTGACTTATAAGCCGCTTATAAGTTGACTTATAAGCTACTTATAAGTTGATTTATAAGCTGCTTATAAGCTTGTAGAAATGAGTAGGTCTTACCTACTTATTTTTAAGTCAGTTTTTCTGAAACACCGTTTTGACCAGATTATTTACAAAATTATTCCTCACCATTTATGAATATTCCAAAACGGCTTATCTATATTTAAGTTATTTTACATTGCTGACAAACATTGTTTAACTTGTAAGCAAGCTTATAAGTTAAAAATTGTTTATGAGCAATAAATCAATAAGCACCAACACAGAATCACCCACATGGAGTAATTAGCAACGGCCTGTTGATGATGATGCATGATGTTACTCTAATCTCATACTTTTTGCAGAACTTGTATATCAGCTTGGTTAACGTAAGGGGTTCAACGGTGGACCCACCCACGATTGTAAGGTCGCGAGTTGTTTTGGTGGTCGGGGTACCCTCGAGGTCGAGGGAGAAGCAGTTAGCCCAAGCGATTACCGGTTCTCATGCAAAAAATCTTGGCCTGAATAACACTGTGTTTGGTAGAGTCAAACAGGTCACCCTCTCTTCCACTACCAGTGTCAATAGTGGCACCCCATCACCTTCTCCAGCCCCCGTGCCTCATAACCTCCACCCCTACCACCGCCATCACCATCACCATCACCGTCACCACCATCACCGCCACCA